TGCTATATACCAGAGACATTTTATGGGGGTGGAGTTGGGAATGGGATCAAAAACAGTGGGGGAGGGAGGTGCATTAGACTGTGGTGATGGCACATGGGTGATTTGGTAATGGGAAGCCCATGGGGATTACAACTGAGATGGATACATGCACAAAATGATGTAAAAATAAATTATTAAAAAAAAAAAAAAAGGGCTTCATGGGGCTATCCCTAGTGGTGCAACAGGTTAAAACATTGCATTATGAAGCTCTCTGAAGCCACTGCAGCACGAGTTCGATCCCCAGCCAGGGAGCTGACTCACAAGGTGTGGCAGACCTCTTCTGACTCACCCACTGCTACCCTCAGCAGTATACTTGGTCAATCTGTCTATTCTGCTCCCCACTCTATCTATGGTGAATCCTCTTAACCACCACACCTCTGGCCTGTACCCCAGTTCTGTAAGCATAAATAAATATATATATTTTTAAAAAGACTTCAAAATGACAGTGAAATAAAAACATTTAGGCAAATAAAAATTATGAAAATCTACAATTGTAGGCTCTCACTAAGGGCAATACTAAATTGAATTTGACAAGAAGATGATTTCAGCTGGAAGAACAGAGATTCAGGAATGAATACAGAAAAGGATAAAAGATACATGAATCTTAATAAAGACTGACTGCTTAAAAATACGAACATGTACACATACAACATTTTAAAATAAGATAAAAATGGCATCAAAGACAGGAAGGAAGGATGAGCAAATGGAAACATTCTAATGTCTCTGAATATTCTAGGAGATGGTAGAAAAATTATTAACAATTTCTACTGAATTTAAGTAAGTCAGGGTTTGAGATGCAATTTTTAGAATAACCAGTAATAGAATAGCAAAAGAATGTAAGTTCAAACTAAAAAGACAGACTACAAAGTTTTCACAAGATGTAGAACAAACCAAACACACACATTGCTGGTGAAAATTTAAATTGATACAAGCACTATGAAAACTGCATTATCCACTGAAGCTAAATGAACACATGACTTAGGAATTTCCCTACATACGTAAGAAAATGTTGACAGTACATGCCTAATAGAAATGTTTAAATATATGTATCAAACTATCTTTACTGGGACTATTTATAATAATACTAATCTAGAAGGGAAATAGGCAACAGAATAAATTGAAATAACAGTGAAAATAAATGAAATATCATGATATGAAACATGGTTGACTCTCACAAATACAATGCTGATTAAAAGAAGTTTGACACAAAAAGGATACATGCTGTATGAATTCATTTCTATAACGTTTGGGAGGAAAGACAAAACTAATCTGTGATACTAAAATAAAACTGTTGTTAAATCCTGTGGCTACTTGGAGGGGAGGAGTGATGACTAGGACTTTCTCCTAGTGACTAGGAGAAAGTACCAGATGGGCTTCTACTGATCCCATCTCCTGATCTGGTTAGTCATTAGATAGCATACATCTGTGAAAAATAATCTATTTGTATTCTCATAATTGTGTAATTGTTTGTATATTATTCTTTAGTTTAAACATAGATTAAAAAATCTTGAAGGCTGGTGCTAGGCACAGTACACTAACATACATTTAAAGAGGTATGGACCTAGACCCTAAAACATAGACATTGCTTTAACTAACATTACATTAATAAAATAAGTAATTTAAAAAAATGTCAGATGCAAATGAGTCTTAGGTAAACAAACAAACTGTAAAATAATAATGAAGCCAACAAGAAACTCCAAAAAAGAACAAAATGCAAAAAACATTTTGTACTAAATTTTGTACAATACAAAATACAAAAGAATTTTGTAAAGTACTAAAATAGAAGAAAACATTATTGTCTTGTGCCAGAACAACAGAGAATTCATTATTTATTATTACACATGCCCTCCTTTATGGAAGATTTGGTTATAGTTGTAAGGCAGATTATAAATGCTAACAACTTTGGTATATAAAACACAGATGAAACTAAAACAGGAAAGATGGAAGAAAGAGATGGATGGCTAAAGAAGAGCTACCATATTAACTAAAACAGCTAAAAAAGAAACAGCTAAAAAAAGAAATAAGATTAAGTAATACAACAGTGAAGTAAGTCGGTCAACAAAACACTTGCTATATACTGGCCTTATTTTAACTGGGTAATTAATACAGATAAAGGAACTTTGTTACACCATTCTGTTTATTTTTACTTATGTTTAAAATCTTCCATAATAAAAAGTTGGATTTCTTTAAAATGGTAACCAATAGAAGACTAATGTATCATACACTTATTAAATAAATACTGGATCAAAAATGGGGGGAAGTTGGGTGAATGAAACCTTTCAAGTTTAGAAACATAAAAATACGAAAAATTGAGAGGGGCCTCCCTAGAGGCCTAGAGTTAGTTTCAGCACTGTCACTACTACGGACTGAGTTCAAAGCCCTCTAAGGAGCTAACCCATTTTAAGGTCGTGGCTGGGGCAAGACTGGAGTAGGAAAGAGGAACTTAAAACTGCTGCCCCTTGCATTCCAGAAACCTACTTCTTAGACCCCTGTGGGGTTGTTGAACCTTGCCAGGAGTGCAATAAAGTTCCTGCCTGTCAGAAACTTTGCCTGGATCTTTACTGCAACAAACCTTTCACCCACATTTGGTGCAGGAGACCTCTCCTGTCTTTTCCATTGCTCCCCTCAGCAGTGTATTTCAGTAAATCTGCCTATTCTGCTCCCTACTTTGGTTCTAGTGAATCCTCTAAGTCCCCACACCTCTGATCTATACCATTCTTCTATGTCCCACAAAAAAAGATGAAAAATTGAAACACAGAGGATACTTAGGTCCCTAGAAATGATTAAAATAGGCTGCCTCCCAGAAGTCAAAGGAATAATAAATCTTTATCACTTAAACTGATCATTTTAATGAAATACTTTTTATTAAAAATTTGTTTAAAAAAAAAACTGGCACAATTCAGTGGAGAATTTTTCCAATATTCACCACAGATATGGTGTTATAAATTAAAAGTGGGGAATGATACCGGTAGCTAGAGAGCCTAAATTGCTATGTGCGGTGCCCCCTGGAGGAGTTTGCTGGTAGAAAATAGTGTGTCTGAGGAGAATGCTATAAGTGGGGTGAAGCAACAGCAAAAGTATATAAGGAAGCTCTGCAGAAATGGAGTGGGGGGAAGGGGTGCCAGCTGTGGCTGCAGAAGTGTGGCATAATGATGGCAGCAAAGGCTGTAGGAAAGCTCCGTGAGGGCTTTGTGGAGCTGAGCTTTGTGGACACAGCCACATGGCAGAGGCTTTGTCTAAGTAGTCATTTTGGAAAAGTTTTACTAAGCCTGGCAGAAAAAGGGAGACCAGGAGAAACAGGCATCTTGTTGAAGCATGGCGTGGAGAAAAAGGGAGACCCGGAGCCAGGCAGGCATCTTGCTAAACTGCATGAGTGTGGTGTTTCTTAGGTGCTTTGCTGGGACATTCTGTCCACCCAAGGAGTATCTGCCATTGTATCCTTTGTTGTGTTTGTGATTTGGATCCTAACCTACAGTTGGGCTGCCACCATGCCATCTTAGACATGTTTGGTCTATTGTTTGGGAAGGGAGTTGCACATCCTCAGTAGTAGAAAGACACCAACATAATGGTCTTTGTGCAGGACTGGACAGTACTGCACATGACTTTGGGTAAAGTAAACGGCCATTATTGGCCTTAGAAATTCTTGTTCAGGTTTGTTAAATAAATCCCTTTGTTGTTATTCTCTTAAAAAAAAAAAACCTGGCAAAATTTTCCTTGTATAGGTCCTTCACATCTTTTGTTAGGTTTATTCCCAAGTATTTGATTTTTTTTTTGGTTTCAATTTTAAAAGAAATGGCTTTCTTGACTTCTTCTTCAGATTAAGCATGTATAGGAAAACTACTGATTTTTGTGTGTTGATTTTGTAACCTGCTATTTTGCTCAATTATTTTGAGTAGTTCTTCTATGAAGTATTTATGATTCTCCATATATATTTCCATTATCACCAGCAAATAGTGATAGTTTTATTTCTTTCCTTATTTGGACTCCTTGTATGAATTTCTCTTGTTTTATTGCTCTGGCAAGAACTTCTAGTATTATGTTGAAGAGGAGTGGTAAGAAGTGGGCATCCTTGTCTTGTTCTTGATCTTCATGGAAAGGCCTTTAGCTTTTCACCATTGAGAATAATATATATATATATATTTATATATATATATATATATATATATATATATATATATAATGGAATACTATTCAGCAATCAAAACAGATACACTCATGCCATTCACAGCAACATAGATGATAGATGGAGCTGGGAGGAATTATGCTCAGTGAAATAAGTCAGAAGGAAAAAAAAATATCAAATGGCTTCACTTACAGAAGGAATTTAAAAGAAGTAAATAAGATGGGGGAGGGAGTGCATTGTTATTATAATAGAAAACAAAAACAGACAAGTATAAACCAGAGAGATCCTACAGGGAGGGGAACAGAGAGGGAGCAGAAGGAGGGAGGAATGTGGGGGGCTATGGTGATGATGAGTGGGGGAGAGGGGAAGTAAACATTATTACAAAATGAACAATAATGCAAATAAACAATGTAAATTTAAAAAATAAATAAAAATGAACTACCCAGTAATTCAATAATCTCACTTCTGGGTATTTACTCAAAGAACACGAAAACACTAATTTGGAAACCTATATGTAACCCTATGTCCACTGCAATAGCCAAGCTGTGGAAAAAAACACAAATGCCCGGCCACTGATGACTAGATAAAGTTATGGTATGTATATGTAATGGAATACTACTCAGCCACAGAAAGGGTGAAATCTTGCTCTTTGAAATAACATAGATGGACCTAGAAGAGATTGTGATAAATGGAATTGTTAAGGGGAAGGATGTCCTAAAAGAACTCTACAAAGTTTGGTGGACTCCACCTCTACTCCAGCTTTCTGGATTCCATCCCTTATTCCAGTGACTGGAAAACTACAACTCCCAGCAGTACCAAGGAGAGAACTGCAAGGACTGGATTACTGCACTCATCTGTGGACTATTAAAAAAAATAAATAAATAAACTGGCAAGTTAATAGAAAAAATGGAGGCAGTTAAGATAGTTAATCACTTATACTTTAAACAAATAGTCCATAAAATATATAAGATCTAACCAGCAAAGTAAGAAGAAGAAAGACAAATACTGGGTGGTTTCACATATATAATTAGAGAAAGCAAACAAAGATTAAAGACAAACCTTGAAAGCTGACCAGAGAGCTGAGGCTTTGGGGGTGGGGAGTGGTGAGGTTTAGACTCCCACCAGAAGGAAGGAGAAAAGGAGGGGTAAAAACAGGAGGGAAAGAGCATATGATTTATGACCAAGGGTACCAGAAGAGGGATTTGGTGGGGTGGAAGCAAAGGAGAGATTACTGGGGTTTGGTGGTGGGAGTGGTAAAATACATTTCTAAAGGTGTGAACCTATATGGATAAGACATATATTGTGATATAAATCAACATTACCTCAATAAACATAACTACAAATGTGTGTGTGTGTATATAGGATCTATGATATATTTAAACAATACACCTACCAAATACCCTTTTCAGAGACATCATAATTTTCAGATTATGCTACCTTAAAATGAAGATAAATTATTCTACTACATTATCTCCTAATTTTAATTAATTTTGTAGCTTACTCAAATCAAATTCTGAAAGCACTGAAAAATACTGTATTTTACCATTATGACCTAAATATAAGCAAGTAAATTTGCCATATTTCTAAACAGGTTGTATTAAAAGCTGATGACATAATGTATAAGAAAACAATTTATCTTACCTCTTTTTCTTCACCAACTTGGTCCAAACTCTCATGACTTGAAGGATTATATGGAATTACTAAAACCCCAATTCCAAACAAAAGAAAAAAAACACATTACCCAAATTTGATTTAAAAAAAAAATCTGATTTTTCAGTTTTTATTTCTGAGTAAGTTTTCAACTTTTAAAATTAAGTATCTGTCCTAACTGCAAATTGCATTTCAATGAGTTAAATCCTAATCTTTATAGAGAAGAACCAATCAGTCGTCAATATTACTTTAACAAATATTTTTGCTATTTTTTAAAAATTTCTGTTCTTTAAACATTAATCCAACAACTTCTGAAATAAATGACTCTATAAATCCTACTTATTTTGTAGCATGACTAGATACAGAAGGTCTCTGATTTTCATGCTTCTTTTAAATTCAAAATGCTGTGCTGACTTTCATACCTCATAGATCAAGAAAATAAATGACAAAGACAGAACTCATCTTTACTCCCTGAAGTTATTCTGGGACAAAAAATCCTACATTCATATAATCAGTTCTCTCCATGAATAAGGGGCTGTATTCTATCCTCCCTAAAAAACTCCTTTGCCTCCCTTTTGATTTAGCTTAAATCATGTTGTTGTGCTTTATTTCACTGCTCTCCAAAGATCCCAGATACATATTTAAGGTTTGTACCTATTTGGTGTTTTAAATAACAATCTTTTTTCAATGTTCTATACTGGATCTCTATCTTTTACATAATTTCTACTTTTGATAATAAAACTTATAAAAACATGTGAACACAAGTTCACTGTATACAGTCATTATTGAAAAAAAAAAACAACTAGATATGCTGAATTTAAAGGGATCTGAAAAGTAACTTTTCTGAATTAGATAAGTCATTTTCAAATGCCAAATTTGTTAAGTATTGTGACTGATATTACCACTGCAAAATACAATTAACTAACTTTTACTTGGGACAAAAGTATATATTTTAAACTTGGGTGAAAGCGTCACCTAAAGGAATCTTTAAATGATACTTTGTTGATGAACAATGGTTCATGCCATTACTTTTCTTACCTGTCTGTGCATGTTCTGAATGCATGGATGACTGATCTATGGTCATGAGTGGTTCCTACAAACATTTCCAAAAATAGGGGAATTAGTGGATTCTTTTAAACACCAATACCTCTGGAGATCCAGAAACATCATAATTTCTATGAGAACTGGCATATTAAATTTACTTGAAAGACTATAACTTATAAAGTAAGAATTCTATAACTAAATTTGTTATAATTATTTAACTATTACATCTTAATTAGCATCTCAGTTATTTAAACTATAGATTATCTGCCACTATATTAATTTTTAATCTTATTGTATGAAACTATACAAGACTCTTCTAAATGAGTTAATGTTAGTCACATTTTACATATAACAAAAGAAATATAAAATTAGTTACAAGCTATCAATTACAGTAAACACCTACACAGTCTAAATTTGTTTCTTATACTACATATTCTTCCTTTGAGTTCCATATATACACTTTAAGTCTTTGGCTAAGGCAGACAGATAGATTTCATGTCAATAAACCTCTTGAAATTATATGTAAAATCTTAGGGGTGTCCCATTATTTGAAGATTCTCAAAGATGTCAGTGATCCAAAAAAATAAAAGTACCTCCTGGAAACAGACTTAACCAACTAAGTAACACTAATATCAGGAACAATACTAATTTAAACAAAAATGTTACAATGAATTCATCTAGATTAATATTTCGATCAAGTTTAGTGAATATCAGCAGGGAAGGGTAAACTTGAAAAGATGCATTAATCATACAATTATCACTTTAAGGCTAACTATAGATTCATGGATTTTTCAATGCATTTAGCACCATCCTAAGATGTCAGTGAGTCACTAACTGCCCCCTCTTCTACACTTAAGAAGCCATTACCTGAGAATGTTCAAAAATATCAACAGTAATTGCATTCTCAATTTTTGGCCTTCTGTTTTCTTTAAGACTGCATTTTCACCTTACTAAACTGAACTTTCTTTACTAGCTAAATAACTTTAATACCAAACAGCCGCCAATTTATCATGTACTTTCTTTACTAGCTAAATAACTCTAATACCAAATAGCTGCCAATTATCATGTACTTTTGCAATGTTCAAAGAGCTATAAACAAACATGCTATAACAATTTAGAAAGATGCATCCAGATCTTTTTAAAAATGCATATCCTTTAAACCAGTAATTCAATTTCTGTATCCCTAGATAACAACAGATTTACTAGGAAATTCATTATGATTTTCTTTCTAGAAAAATTTAGAAAATAACTCAAATGTTCACTCATGGGAACAGATTAAATAAATTACAGCATAGACATCTAACAAATGTGCTAAAAATGATGAAGATATAGATAACAAAAATACCTTACAAAAATGTTAGAAAACAGTACATATATGGTCTCACTTTTATTTAGTATGTAATTGAATGCGACAAAGCCATGCATATGCCTTTGATAAACATTCCTTCTTGTATAAAGTAAGCAGTCTGAAAATAAACCACAAAAGGCCAAGAACTAGAATCTAAACAAACCTTATACATCCAACTATAATATAGGGGACAAGAGAAATTTAAACATAACATTGGAAAAATAAAGAGCAAAATTCTGCAACATTTCTACTAACAATTCAATTTCTTTTGTAATTAAATTGTGATGGGAAAAAGAGATGGAAGAATCATTAAATTAAAACATCTCTAAGATACATACCAACTAATCACAACTATGCACTTTATCTGGATCCTGATTTATAATAAAAATTAAAAAAACAAAATCATAACATTTATGAGACAACTGAAATTTTGAACATTTCTTAGATGGATATTTAATATCAACAGAGAAATCTAATGGAATTTGATGGAAATGATTTAAAAAAAAATAGTTTTCCTGTCTGAAAAACAGTTTTTTAGAAGAATCCTTATCATATAAAGATACATATTGAACTATGTCTGGGATATATGCCAAAATGAAGGCAGGTTAAGTGGGTAGGGGTATAGAAACAAGATTGGTTTTGAGCTGATAACCATAGCTAGCTGAGTGGTACATGAAAGTTCATTATACTGTTTATGGATATAAATTTGCATAAACTAGAAGGCTGTACATCAAGTGTCAAGTTTACATGGCTTGTTTCATAGGGAATTTTAATTTTTTTTCTTTATTCATCTGTATTCTACATTGTCTCTATAATAAACATGCTTAAATTATATATATATATTTAAAATAGGAAATGAAAAAAATTTAAATGCAAAACTCCCCAGTAATCTCTCACTTTAGATAGATTAGCTAAATCTCTTAACTGATCTCTCCTTAGTACAGACGCTAAATTTAATTAATAGAAGTTGTAGTTAATGAGCTTAACGAAGAGAAATGATTTCTTAAATGATTTTTTCCCAATTTCTTTCTAATTTAGAATAGGTTTTATAATAGGTGAAACAAAGAAATTCCTATATTCTGCAAACAAATTTGTAATAACAATTCCCAAAACCACACTACGTTATCTGGGCTATAAAGCATTCTTATTCATATTCTGTAATAACAGTATTGAGTTCTGATTCCTTAATATCTCCCTACTTTAACTTTTTGTTCAAGTAGGGTTATCAAAAAAGTGCTACTAAAAAAAAAGAGAAACGATTCGTCTTACTGTTTGCAAAGAATGCCGCCCACATTCAATTGTGACAAGCTTGTGGCACTTCTTATGAACCAGGAGTTTGCAGTTGATGCACTTATATCCCTGGCGTCCAAGTCCCCATATTCGGTCTGTGCAGATGGCACAGTGAGCACGCTGTAAACAAACAGTAATTCAACAATGTTTTATTAACAAGAAAAGATTATAGTCATTATAGTCATATGAATAGTTTGTTCATAGTAATGAAATTTTGGTTTTTCCTTAAGTCCATTCATTCCCTTTATCATATACAATTTCTTCAAAGTTAGAGTGGTCAAGGAAATTGTATTAAAGAGACAATGGAATTAGTTAACTAGGCCAAGAATTTTCAGTCTTCACATAATTAAGTTTAGTGTAATAAATAAGAAAAAGTAAACTATAACTCAAAAAAACATATGGCAGGAAAATATGTGCAAGGATTCCTGGCAAATATAAACCTAAACTGTTTGTGTTTAGAGGTCAAAGTAAGGTCTTGCTTAATGAGTAGTAGTAAACCTATAGTGACTTTCCATTTTTTGTTTTAAAGATTTATTTATTCATACAAGAACTGGGATATAAGCCAGAGCTGCGGGGGTGTGAGAGAGGATTCAACAGAGACAAAAGTAGGGAGCAGAGGGTGAGACAGAAGAGGTCTCTGTGCCCTGTGGGATTAGTTCCCTGGCTGGGGACTGAACTTTACAGCCATAGTGCTGACACTTTAACCCCAGCACCACCAGGGAGGCCCTGACTTTCTATTTCAGAGTTTTTTAATTGGTATTACTGGGAATAAGAGTTTGGAAACTCAAGTGGTGGCTATTTACATTTCTGAACTCAAGCACTGGCACTGGTTTTAGAATGGAAATGGAGTCCACAAATCTGTAGTTTTCAAGAGTAGTTTAAATATGACATTCTGAAGACCGACTGTTTTCAAACCTTGCCTCTATAACTTGGTAGTTTTGTCATCTTGAGCAAGTTAACTGCCCTGTCACTCAGTCTCTTCATCTGTAAAATGGAAATACATAGTACTTACCTTACAAGTTTGTTGTAAGGATCAAATGAGTCAATATATGTGTAAGCAAATTGGAAAAATGTTTGGTAAATAGTAGAAATCAGACATGTGTTTGCAATTATTATCTCTAAGTGAAAACTGAAATTATAATATTAAATAAACTTGAAAATAAACTTTACTTATTTCTGACTACCTTGAATTTTATTAAAAAATCCAGGGTGATGTTGAGTTAATTAACCAATGTGGAACATTTTTTTTTTTTTTAAAGGAAAGCCTGTTCCTTTTTTTTTTAAATTTTTTTAATTTTATTTGTACATACAGAACTGGGGTACAGGCCAGAGGCTCAGGGGTGGTGAGAGGCTTCACCAGAGACAGAGGGGGAGCAGAACAGGCAGATCGATAAAGTACACTGCTGAGGGGAGCAGCGGGCGGTCAGGAGAGGTCTGCCACGCCATGTGGTCGCCTCCGGGCCAGGCGGGGATCGAACTCATGCAGAAGTGGCTTTAGCTTCTCGGTGCAGTGCTTTAACCCGCTGCGCCACCAGGGAGGGCCCAGTGTGGAACATTTTTAAGAGTGAAAGAAGATGTTAATTACAACTACCTCAAGACAACAAGTGTATTGCCCCAGGAAAACTACTTATTCCTTTAAAGAGTACCTTTCTTTCACAGAAGAGAAGAAAAAGACAGGTATCTCAAATTATCAACATGTAACAAAGTTTACCCTGTTAAAACGCTTGGCTTGAAAAGTGTGACCATTTGCACAATAAAGTTTTCTCCAGCGGCGTGCACCTCTGCGGTAGATGGATTCTGAAGAAAGATTAAAAAAGAAAGGAGCAAGTGTGAATGAAAGTAATTTTATGATTAAGTCTGTGATTTTTTTTTAAATGATATTCATTGTGTGAAAAAAATACATGATAAAAACCTAAAAGTAAAAAAAAAGTATTAAAAATAATACTGAAAAAAAAAAAAAAACAAACTCAAAGTGAAAAAACTAAAAGGAACTAGAACAAAGCCTAAGGAGTATAAATATTTTAATAATTTATTAAAGATAACTTCTTGAAGGAACATTCCTCAATATGATAAAGCCATATCTGACAAACCCACAGCCAATATTATCCTGAAAGCCTTTCCTTGGAGACCAGGAACAAGATAAGGGTTTCCACTATTGCCACTGCTCTTCAACATAACATTGGCAGTTCTAGCCAGAGCAATAAGACAGGAAAAGGACATATAAAGGATACAAATAGGAAAAGAAGTAAAACTGTCTTTATTTGCAGATGATATGTTAATTTATGTGGAAAACCCTAAAAACTCCATAGAGAAACTAATCAAAACAATCAACCAGTTAGTAAGGTAGCAGGATATAAAATCAACACACAAAAGTCAGAGGCCTTCCTATATACAACCAACCAATCAGAAGAAGCAGAAATAAAAAAAAACCCATCCCCTTTTCAGTTAAAAAGAATCTCATACCTGGGAATCAACCAAACAAGAGAGATTAAAGACTTATACAAAGAAAACTACAAAACACTGTTAAAAGAAATAAGAGAAGACACCAAGAAATAGAAAGACATCCCCTGCTCATGGATCAGGAGAATTAACATCATCAAAATGACCATTCTACCAAAAGCGATACACAGATTTAACACTATTCCAATAAAAGTCTCAATGACATTCTTCAAAGAAATAGAACAAATATTGATGAGATTCATATGGAACCACAAAAGACCATGAATAGCCAAAACTCACATGACTAAAAACAAATCCCAAACTTCAAGCTATACTACAAAGCCATAATAATCAAAACTGCATGGTACTGGAACAAGAACAGACACACAAACCAGTGGATTAGAATAGAAAACCCAGATATAAACCCACAGGTTTATGGGCAGCTTATCTTTGACAAAGGAGCAAAGAAGATACAATGGAACAAAAAAAGTTTGTTCAGCAAGTGTGCTGGGAAAACTGGGAAGCTACATGCAAAAAAATGAAACTAGATCACTACCTCACACCATGGACAAAAACCAATCAGAGTGGATTAAAGACCTAGACATAAGGACGGAAACCATAAAATACCTGGAAGCAAAGATGGGCCAAACACTATACAACATACACATCAGCACCATCTTTACAGATAGAGCACTCAATGCAACGATAGTGAAGGCAAGGATAAACAGATGGGACTACATCAAGTTAAAGAGCTTCTGTACAGCAAAAGAGACATTATAAAAAACAGACAGACAGCCCACGGATTGGGAAAAAAATTTTCTCACACAAAAGTAGTGATAAAGGATTGATCACAAAGATATCCAAAGAACTGATGAAACTCAACAAAAATAAACAACCCCATCAAAAAATAGGCAGAAGAGCTAAGAAGACACTTATCCAAAGAGGAAATGCAGATGGCCAACAAGCATATGAAAAAATGTTCAACATTACTTGTAATAAAGGAGATGCAAATTAAAACCACAATGAGATACCACCTCACCCCGGTAAGAATGGCACATCATAAAACAACAACAACAAATGTTGGCGAAGATGTGGAGAAAAAGGAACTCTCCAGCACTGCTGGTGGGAATACAAATGAGTACAACCACTATGGAAAACTGGAGCTAACAGTTAAAATGGAGCTTCCATATGACCCAGCAATCCACTCCTAGGTATCTACCCAAAAGACACAATAACGCTGATTCAAAAAGGTACCTGCACCCTCTGCTTTATTTATAACTGAAAAGACATGGAAACAGCCCAAATGCCTAAAAGTAGATGGCTGGATTAAGATGTGGTACATATACACAATGGAACATAACTCAGCAACCAAAAAAAATAAACACATGCCTTTGTAGCAACATGGATGGAGCTGGAAAAGATCATGCTTAGTGAAATAATCCAGAAAGAAAAGGAAAAATACTGGATGGTTTCACTCATAGCAGGAGTATTAAGGACCAGGGGAGAAAATAATAATGATGATCAACTATATACCAGACACATTTTACAGGGATGGAATGGGAAATGAGATAAAAAATGGTGGGGGGAAGTGCACTGGACTATGGTGATGGCACATGGATGATTTGGTGATGGGAATCACACAGGGATTTCAACTGAGATGGAAAAAGGCACAAAATGACATAAAAATAAACTATTACATTATTAAAATAAATAAATAAAAACCTAAGCTGGAAAATAAATAAATGGAACTATTTGCATAACAGAAGGAAATATGGAATTTTCAAATAACTTTAGAGTGTGTTGAGTGTTCTGTAACTGTGACTCAAAACTTAGAAGCCATAAAATTAAATGTAGATAAATTAAATGACAGAGAAATGTAAATATCACATATGGCAAAAATAAAGCATGAGCAAAGTTAAAAAAAAGAAAACTTCCTGCTAAGACATTAAAAAATAGGTCCATTAACAATTTTAAAAGAACAGTGTGCTAGTAGCCACCTACTCTCAAATAATACAAAAATCAAACAAACAAGTGTGTTTGTTACATATATGAATGTGATGGAGGCTTAAGACTAGAAAAGTTGGGGTTGAGGTGTGGTAACACCCAAAACTGAAGGTGGGGATGGAAATGATTAGTTTCACCATTAAACCAGCTATTGAAATCCTTAACTGTGGCTAGAGATGGGGATATGGGAACTGTCTATCATTATTAACAACTGCTATAATAGCAAATATCTGTAGGCAATGACCAGAGGTAGGAATATGGAGATTGATGGCCCTTACCATTAACCCAACTATACCTAGAAGTGAATCACAACAGATTAAAATTTTCACAAAAAAATTTAACCCCTCCCTCCAAAAGGAACACTGTATTAGAACAACTCCTACCTGGAAAAATACAGTTCTTGTCCTCAGACTGACAATGTCTATGCAGGTGTCCCTTTAAACAAAACTCTCCCCACCTCTCCTCCCCCCACCCACCCCCAAAAACGTCGTAGCAGCAGCAACTTTCTGCCTACTCACTTCTATGCAGGTGTCTCTTTTTACCTTTTTTCTAATAAACCTGTTATTTTAAAAGGCAGCCTTTGCCTGTTTTAGTTTATGGAAACCTTAGTATTCTTATAGTGTGCTGCTAGAAAGTGAACTCTGCTGAAATGTTTCTCAGAGGTAACCCAAAGACCCTGTTCACCCCACATTTTTTTTTTTTAAGATTTATTTATTTATTCGTACAGAACTGGGATATAGGCCAGAGATACAGAAGGTGAGAGGATTCACCAGAGACAGAGCGGGGAGCAGAACAGGCAGATCGAGGAAACACACTGCTGAGGGGAGCAGCGGGCGGGCCAGGAGAGGTCTGCCTCGCCATGTGGTCTCCTCTGGGGCAGGCGGGAATCGAACTCATGTGGAAGTGGCTTAAGCTTCTTAGTGCAGTGGTTTAACCCGCCGCGCCACCAGGGAGGGCTCCCAAACCCCACATTTTATCAGAGCATGTACATGTGTGTGCTGTACACTTAAAAAATCGGATAAAACAAACATGGAAAATGGAAAATGTTAACCTTGGTGAATATTGGCAAGGGATACATGAATACTTTGTTTTCAATATTGTTTCAACTTCTCTATAGATTTGAAACTCTCTGAAATTAAAAAACCAGTAAGATCACAACTAAAGATTAACTTCATTTTCCTTTCAAATGCTCACTAGACAGTTATAATAATATGTAATTAAGAACTGCGTGATTTTGAGCTAGCAAATATCAATTTAGACAGCCACTAGTAAACTTTAAATGGAAGAAGAGAATCAAGTGGATTAAAAGGTGCTATTTATGATTTCTTTTTAGTTGTGCCAGAAATGAACTCTTTTTCAAAGATGTGAATTACATAAATACTCACTATCTTCTCCTGGACAGGGCATTCCAGGACGTTCTGGTACACAAGGAAATACTGAAAGGAAATAAATTGAAATTAATACAGCACATTTAAAACATATGTTATAAATTTATTTTAAACTCTATCAAAAAAAAAAAATCAACCCAAATGTCAACCTCACCCCTCTTGACCCAAGATTCTTAATGTGGTCAGTATTATTTTTTGAAGGGATACATTTTATTAAGGCTATCTAAAGTAAATTCTAGAAAAGCAAAACCTATGAACAATGCATTAGAAGCTCAAATTACTTATTCTAGTTCCTGTTGTATCCATTATTGATATTTTTTTGTCTTTTGCGATATCATTAACTACTATCTCTTAAACCTTGAAAACAGATGTGACACTGTGGGAAAAGGAAGTAAAATATAAAATTAACTCTTTAATACTAGTCAGTAATTTCTTTAAGCATTCATTCTAGTTTAGTTCTAGAAAGACATGACCAAAAAATGTATAACTTCTAGAGCTCTACTATGATCAACAAATTATAGATTCCTTGGAGTCACTAAATCAAATTATGAAGACAGAAAAATTCAGACTATTGTGTAAATTAAAAAAAAAACTATAAAGAAAATACAAGGAAATAATAAAGTCTTAAATAATTCATTATACTATAAAAAGATTTATAGCTGTTTCAAATTTTACTTAGAGAGTTCTCTAGATCTGGCCCAGAGCTCTCAAACTGTTAACATGAAATACTGCCAATGTGTAACAATTAAATAAAGCATATTAAGTGACTCTGTGTGACACGAAAAATTTGTGGGATAGTATGATAGAATGAAAAGAGCACAGATTTGAATCAGAATACCATCTAGACTGACAACTCGGATTTATAATAATTGTTATACATTATCCTCTTCTACACCACACCATTACTTACCTCTCAGGGTGGTTGACATTTAACACACTAATGTCTATCAATAATTATGTAAATGATTTCACTGTTAACCCCTCAACAAAAGGAAACTTAAGATGCCTTTGAAGAAGGAAACAATAGGCTCTTATAGGCTCTCGTACTTAAAATCATTTAAGCTCTTCTTTTAAATATGAAGATAATCACATTTTATACCCAAGCAAGCATAAACAACACAAATTTACAGATTGCCTTTTTCTTCTCTAGCATTTGAGAAACTACTGAATAAAGAAAATTACATAGCTATAAGAGGTAATGATTAAGAACATAAGGACTATGTTTTTAAATTTAAGAAGACAGGATTACTTCCAAAAGAGTCAGAAATGACTACACTTTACCATGAATCAAGAGCTCAGAGTCCTTGTTTAGTTCATAAAGTCTAAAAGCTTCTTCTAATTCCAACTGAGATGATACTGTACATGGGTCTCCTAAAAAATATAAAAGTAAAGTAAACTCAGTATCTTTTATGATTAGTAAAAAATTTCTATTATTTGAAAATTTGAGAAAATATTACACATACACACGTAGCAACAATATCTTTTAAATATTTATTTACATAATTTTATTCTCTAAAGTAAGTAACATAACTTCCATTCTATTTCTATGGCCTATTGCATGAGGCTCATGGGTAACAAATTTTATACATACTAAAAATTGTATAGGTTCTCAGTATTGTATAGGTTCAAAATGTACCAAACAGATTTCTACCTTGACCACATTTTAGAGGGTTACTGCAATATGGCTAATGGCCAGGAACAAGCTTTCTGTTACCTGTTTCTTTAAAAGAGGAAGTGAAAGAGGTTCCATTTGCAAAATATAGATGGTTAGAGTTCTCCATGTAATAATTTTGTCAAATTTTTCCTTTCACCTGAGAGCCTGATCAAGAAGGTCACAGAAAGAAAGCACAGTTACAAAAGTACTTTGGACTGAAAAACAGTCCTAATTGAGCTGCTTTTAAAAGTTAATGCATAAGTTTAATGAACTTACATAGAAAAGGAAAAGGAAAAGACACCATTCTACCAGACAAAGAACTGAGTCATATCTAGCAATCAGTGAGATGGCACATTTTCTGTAAAGGGTGCTCCTCAAAGAAAATCATTTAGAATATTGAAGGGAAGGAGTGATGAGTTACTGTTTAATGAGTATAGAGTTCCAGTTTGTGAAGATGAAAATATTCTAGAGATAATGTCATTTATTGTGGTTAGCCTCACTATAACTACATTAGCAATGAAAAAAAAAACCACACAGTGGCATGGTGCCAGTTCCAGACTTCATCATGAAAAAGGTCTGGCACCTTTTGCTTTTGTGCTTTTGGGAGTCATAAGCCACCATGTAAGAATGAGAGAAAACCACTGAGAAGAGCAGATTTGCACCAAGACTGAGAAAAAAGCACGTATGCCAGCATTACAGATGAATTTCTAGGTGATTCTAGATGCAGCTGGCGATTGGTCACTGCATTCACTGCTTCCAGTTAATCCAACAAACCAACTGACTCAGTGTAAATACATATATATAATAAAATGGTAGAGTTTTGCTGAAGCTAGTAAACCTTGAAGTGATTTGTTATGTCACAAACATCTTCCTACCATTTTCCAAGAGGAATCCAGAAAACTGGTGACTTACTGACAAAAGCCACTTCATTTGAAAAGCCTTACCCAAAACAAGGTAGTAGTTCACATTTTCTTCCCTCTCACAAACCAACATTCGTTTGATCCCCTTACCCTTCCCTCTTAACCTCACAGTCCTCAGGATATTTATTAATGGGATATTTATTAATGTCTACTAGATTTTGGGAGTGTTTTTTAGTTTACTGAATTATTGCTATATAAATACCCATTGTTTTTATTATTGTAACTTAGTTTACTGCATTCAATTTTCTCAAAGTTCCTCCATTTTGTAGAAAATGGCTGCATTTCACCTCTTCTTATGGCTATATGATACTCTATGGTCTGTATATACATTTTCTTAACCCAATCATTTGCTGATAGACACTCAGAATGCTTCCTTGTCATTGCCATTTTGAATAATGCTGTTACAAACATTGTGTAACACATGAAAATTTTTGTTGGTGGTTTCATAGTCTGTGGATAGATACCCAAGAATGGGACAGAAGGGCAATACAGTATTAACATTGTTAAAGAAAGAATCCAGACTGTTTTCCATAATGGTTGTACCAGTTTACATTCCCACCAACTGAGTTCCTTTTCTCCACATTCTTTCTAATATTTGTTTAAATGTATGCCATGCTCACAGAAGTGAGGTAGTATTTTATTATAATGACTTTAATTTGCGTCTCTCTTATTAGAAATAATTTTTTTTCACAATTATTTTGTTTTTCTGGATAACCTCTGGTGAATTATCTCTTCATACCTACTGTCCACTTATTCATTTGGTAGTTTGTTTATTGTTGTTGATAAATTGTATGAGTTTTTTATATATGTTGGCTATTAATTCCTTATCTCTCTACTTTATTATACTGTTATATACTGTATCACTGTACTAATATAGTATGTAAGTATTTTCTCCTACCTAACAGGGCATGTATTAGATTGTCTCATATTTTCTTTCATTGTACAGAGCTTTTTAACTTGAGGCAATCCCACTATTTATTTCTGCTTTTAATTCCTTTGCCATAGGGGATAAGTCACCAATAATACCCTTATTGTTGTTATCATGGACTATAATAACAATATTTTCCTCTGTGTGTTTACTTGTTTTAATTTTATAAATTTTTAATTTTATAAATTTTTTTTATAAATTTTTAATCCACTTGGAGTTTATTTTTGATTATGATGTTACTGAGCAACACAATTTCAATCTTTCATGTATTGCTTTCCAATTTTCTCATCACCATTTATTAAATAGACCTTCCTCTCCCATTTTGTGGCGAAAGCTGTTTTACCTTTTATTAACTGCTGGTGTGTATATATATATATATATATATATATATATGGTCTTATTTTTGGGTGTTTGACTATTCCATTGGCTTGTGGCTTGTGTAACTATTTTTTGAACTATACTACATTGTTTTTACTACTGTAGCTTTATAATAAAGTATGAAGTCGGTAATGCGATTCCTCCATCTCTCTTCTTTTTTCTTAGGGTTGCTTTTGCAATTTAAAGTCTTGTATGGTTCCACAGATATTCAATAAGCTTCCTTTCAATTTTTAATACTGTTGCTTTATAGTAAAGTATGAAGTCAAGTAATGTGATGCCTCCGTTTCCCTTCTTATTTTCTTAGGGTTGCTTTTGCAACTCAACATCTTGTATGGTTCCATGAATTTTCGATTAGCTTTCCCTCCGTTTCTTTGAAAAATATTGCTGGTATTTAATAAAGGCTGCATTAAATTTTTGTATATCATTTTAGGAAGTATAGTCATTTTGATTATACTGGTATTCCCTATCCATGAGCATGGGATATCCTTCCACCTCTGTATATTGTATCAACTCCTTTTGTGTTATGTTGTATACAGCTTTTATCTCCATTTGGCTTTTTCTGAGGTATTCAATTCTTTCTGAAACAATTATAAATATAGTTACTTTCCTAATTTTTTTTCTTTCTCCTTGTCATTTATGTATAAAGAATTTTATATGCTGATATTGTAACCTGGTATGTTATTAAAGGCATCCCTGGTGGTGCCAAGGGGTTAAAGCTCAGCATCATTATGGGCAGCCACTGCACCATGAGTTCATTCCAGTATAGGGAGCTAATCCACTTGGTGCAGCAGACCTCTCCTTTCTCACCAGTTGCCTCCTTCATCAGTGTATTTCAGTCAGTCTGCCTGTTCTGCCTCCACTCTGTCTCTGGTGTATCCTCTCAATTCCCAAGGCACACCTCTGACGTATAGCCCAGTTCTTATATGCATATATAGACAAATAAAATAAAACTAATCAATATTGGTTGATTTTAATGTTGTTATAGTTCTACAAAATTTCCCAGAAAGCTTAAAATAATTAAACCAAATCCTGTCCATGATTCAAAAACCTCAAATCTAACCATCTATTTTCTAAGAAACCTTGGTAAACCATTTCATTAAGATTGCCCTGAATTCCTTAATTTCAGAAAAAAGGCAAGATGAGACAAAAATTGACTAAATGCTCTCTGTAGTAGGTGGAAAGTATCTTAAAGCAAAGTTAATTCAGAAATAAACACAAAAGTGAGCAAAGGCAAGGATCCAAAATGCATATAAATTGAATACCTAAGTTAAGAAAAGATCACTGAAAAGATTAAAAGGTTTTCGGAAAAATAAACACAATTCTGCAGGAGGATGATAGGCTAACAGATACAGTTTCTGAAGTTTTATGACTTTTTTTAAAGATTTATTTATTTATTCATAAAGAACTGTGGTACAGGCAGAGATGCGGAGGGTGAGAAGATTCACCAGGTACAGAGCGGGGAGCAGAACAGGCAGATCGACGAAGTACACTGCTGAGGGGAGCAGCCTGGCATGTCACGAGAGGTCTGCCGCCATGTGGATCTCCTCCGGGGCAGGCGGGATCGAACTCATGCGGAAGTGGCTTTAGCTTCTTAGTGCTGTGTTTTAACCCGCTGCGCCACCAGGGAGGGCCAGTTTTATGACTTTTAAAGTTGACTTACACTTTATCTTTTAACTAGCACCTACAAAACATTAAAAAGTCTAGAAAAAAACCTGTAAGTAGTTGTGTGCCTTGGAGAGATATGTATTCTCAATTCATATCACCCTTTATTAGATGGCTACATTTTCCTAGAACAAACAGAAGGACCAGCCAGAGATTACAAAACTGTCAGTAATATAAATGTTATGCTAATGAATTATATTAGTATGAATTACCTAAGTAAGTCCTTTTGAGAGGAGCATCAAAAATCTCTCAGAAGCATTTATCCAGGCTCTTTCCTAGGCTCCAAATCCTAGCTCTCTTTTTTGTACTTTAGTAAAATTGCCTTTTTGAGTATCAGTTTTCTCTCATGTAAAAAGAGGGCTATTACTGATACTGCAAGGGTGCTTAGAAAACGAAAGAGCATAGTTGAAATAATATAATCCAGTATGAATAATTCACTATAGGTATGTTTTTACTACTGCACTTTGATTAAAAATATCAAGAATGTAATTAAATATTATTAAAGGAATCACTATAAACATATTTATAAAAGTACCTATTCCCTTTTACTGGATGTTGTCTTTTTGCCAGACCACTATTGATTTGCTGTTGGTTAAAACTCAGGCCAGATAAAGTACCTGCTTTTAGTAAATACCTAGAGACTGATACTTTTGAATAACCACAAGGAAGTATGAGAACAAGTTAGTGACTATATTCATATCTATTTTGTTTTCTTTTGGACTGAATGTCTTTGGTCCAAGTATTACCTCACTGCTTAATGCTTGAGAAAGCAGGATATAGAACTCATAAGTAAAAGAGTCATTATGAAACAAAGGAGAGGAGAAACTAC